GAGGTAAAATTTTCCTGCTGAAGCTGGTCGTAACCCGAAATGTTCGTTAGTAGAGGCGTTCGTATCCCGAGGTACCACTGTATTTACAAACATAACCTTGACACTTCTCGGATGGAGAAAGCCAAATGTGTCCAGGCCATCTGTTGGCTTTCTTTGTGTGGGCAGCCAACAGGTGGCACTAGCTGATACCCACACTGCAAGAATGACCCCCTGAACTGTCCTGGGAAGACATCCTTCTGGCCCCTTAGTCCAGAATGCCCTATAGAAAATGAGCACAGCCAGCCAAAGCAGAGGAAATAAGAGCCCAAAGAATCAAAACAGTCACCCTAGAAACAATAAAAAATTAATGCCCCTTGGGTGCCTTTGTTGGGACTGCAACCCAGATTTCTCAGACCAGCCTGGCCAAAGAAGTTTGGGGAGGCTGGTCTGAGTTCTCCAGGCAAAACTCACCTCAGTTCAAGCACATCAAGACACTAAGATGGAAAATGCAATTATGAAACGACCACAAACTGAGGAGTGGGACAAAGGCTAGATGATAGCTAGAGAAACAGAGAGGAGAATTTTAGGGCCGTTTTCCTCTCTCCCTGCCTCCCACTCCATCCTAGTTATTGCTTCGTTTCTTTTCCACATTATCAAACCGCTACTGGAAATTCCACTTTTTCTTCCGTCCAGCCTCAAATTAAATGCAGATCAAAATGCAACAATTGGAAGGGACATGTCCACTTCCTAGCATCTGGATGCCATTTTTACTGGTGCATGCACATACCTCTCAGCTGGAAGAGGCTCTAAACCTAGATACTTTATTGGTGCTCTTGCGTAATAAACCCCATGGAGGACTGGGAAACCTGGGCTGCCCTGATTCTCAGGATCACATCAGCACGTAAGATTCCAAGCAATCTCTCTTACCAAATCAAGCAGGCAGAAAAACATGCAACAGCAGCCATTCAGAGGCTTCTCAGCATCCTGGACCTCTAGACTTTGCAAGGGAGACTTGCAGTGCCCTACTTCCTGCGACTATCTGCAACAGCTGCTCCTTCCCCAAGTGAAAATGGCCTTCCTCTGAGATCTGGGCTGGAGCTAGTCCTAAGCATTAGTGCTCTGCAAAAGGTAGAAGTTATTATCCAAGACAAGAATGGTGTAGAATGAGATGATTCATATAAAAACCTTGACTGATTGACTGACTGGCATGAATCCGGATAAAAGCAAGGAATCTTTTGGCTGTAAACAAGGAATAGAAGGACACAGATATTAGCAGAAATGGGACATGTTAAGGACTGGAAGTCACCTGTCTTTAAA